AGTTTATTTTCATGCTAGTAGTGTAGTTGTAGCGTAGTGTTAGATGGGGGAGACAATTCATGCTTGTTCTTTGATGTTCCATGTTTTTGAATGCAAGAAGCATATGCTCTAATATTGTGGTGTAATGGAATTTTGAGCTTAATGAAGGATTAATGACTTGTTATGATATATTGTATCTTTCACATGTATTTAGACAATATATTCCTCTCCCAATAGATATATTGTGGCCTCTCACATGATGTTTAGACAATACATGTTTAACTAAGTCATCCTTGTGAATTATTTGGACTATGAGCTTAATGAAAGGTTTAATGACTTGATTTGATATTTTGTTCTCTTCACATGTTGTCTAGACAATGTATTCCTCTTCCAATAGATATACTGTAGCCTTTCACATGTTGTTTAGACATTATACACTTGTTGAGTCACCTTTGCTAGTCGAACCAATTTTGTTCACAACAATGTATTCCCCATTAATGGAAAGCAAGTGGTTAATTACATGAGCTTAGTGGTGATTCCAACACCCTAAGTCCTCTCTTCTCATCTCTTAAATCCCTATCTCTACTTAGTTTTATTTTTATTGCATTTTAATTAATTCTTTTCTAGAAATAATCAACCAACCCAACTCTCTTTTGCAATCATTTGGTACGCTAGAGTCAAAGTTGAAATTCTAACACGTATAATCCCTTGGGACGATCCCTACTCACTCTTGCTACGTTAGTAGTAGTGTTGGTAGTGGTTTTTATAAATTTAAATTTGACATAAAAGGCTTTTCTTGAACCACACATTCAGTTTGGCGTATTGGAACGGTCGTCGTCATTTACTTTATTGCATTTATTTTTCCTTTCTGGGTTATTTAATTTATCTTTAATTTGGTAACTTTAATTGAAGCAAAAATTTGGATAAAGCATCGTGTTTCACATATTCATCTCCATCTAAGTGTTTTTTAATAAAAGAAATTCCACAACCTATTTCGTACTGTGCAACTTAGACTTAGTATCACATCGGATTCTTTAAATTTTGAGTTGTTCCTTGTGGTAATTTTCTCTTGAAAAAACAAAACTCAATTTTTGTTTTCTAAAATCATGTCTTATATTTTGAGAGAGAGTGGTTCAAATCAATGTGCTCCTTTATTCAAAGGTTAACACTATTTTTTTTTTTTTTTTGAAAAACCAAGATGTGCGCTTATTTGCAAAATTAAGGAAATGAAGTTTGGGCTTTTGTTGAAAGTGGATATACTCCCCCTACGGTTCTTGAGGAACAAGATGGTGAGACTATTACAGTTTTAAAAGATCCTTCTGAAATTTCTCCTGCTGAAACTGAACTTGCTAATGCCAATGGTACAGTTTTATATGTTATTTTTAATTTTGTGGTCCCATTTGAATATGCTAGAATATATGGTTGTAGGATTTTTAAAGAAGCTTGGGATATTTTTTAGTTACTCATGAAGGCACAATGAAAGTGAAGAAGTCAAAATTTCAAATTCTTGTCCATCATCTTATGCTATGTTTGGTGTGCAGGAATGGAATGGAATGGAATGCCCATTCCAACCATTCATTTGTTTGGTGTATAAGAATGGAATGGGATGATCATTCCAATAAAATGAAAATCCATTTCAGGGAATGAAAATCCATTCCATTACTAAACTTATGGAATGACCATTCCATTCCATAGTAAGATTAAATATTTTTGTAATATTCCTAATGAGCCCTTCATCACATTCTAATAAGGCAAAAATATTTCGCATAGATCAAAAATCTTTCACATTCCATTTTTCACGTTTCTCGAGCTTCTTTATTAGACGTGGTAAAAGTCTTTCACCTTTCCTCTCTTTTGAATATACCCAGATCTGCCATTGACAAAAAGTTGCAAGATCTTCAACCATATTATATATATATATATATTGATATATATATATATATATTTTAGCCTTTACATCAACTTCTTAGGTTAAGTATTCAATCCGATTTTATCCATTAATTAGATTGATTTTACTAAAAATTAATGAAAAGGGTATTTTTGAAAAAAATTATTCCATTACAGATTTAATGATAGTCAACCAAATAGTAGAATGGTAATAATCATTCTATTCCATTACGATTCAGCGTGTCACACCAAGCATTAGAATAGTAATACTCATTCCATTCCATTCCATTCTAATTTTCATTCTATTCCAAGTTGCATTATATTCCATTCCTGCACACCAAACGTAGCCTTATATTAATGATTTACATTTATTTTCAAGATTAAAAGTTTTTAAAAAAAATATATATATGAGCAGAAACAAACACTCGAATTGCAAAATAATTACATAAAAAGACTATATTATTTTCCAAATGCATGCATTGCTTATAGAATATTATTGGAAGTTTTACAAAGTTAAAGTTGATAAAATCATGTATAAGATCAACTATGTCACTTGGCTATATTATCTACTGAAAAGGTATTTTAACAAAACTTGAATACAAGAATCAAATTAATAATATTGCATCTCAAAAAGTAAGAAAGATAATTTTAAAATAGATATCATTAACTATTATTTGATATTAATATATTAAATATTTTAAAATGCCACTTTAGTATATTTTGCCTAAGACCTCAAATTATATTGAGGAGCCTTATTTACCATTCATGTTGGACCAAAACTAAAAGAAGTCAAAAACAACATAAGTGTATTAGAACACTTTGACACTTATCTTTCGGGGAAAAACAAAACAAAAAAACCAAAGAAACACAGCAAAAATAAATAAAACAACAACAATTACTTGGACACTTCTAACATAGCTTCAATTCAAAATCCTCCTAAAGAGGATTTGTGCACCATATTACGGTTTTAAGGTCATATATTGCATGGGGGCATGAGCATACGATGGTTATATCTCAAAAGAATATTGTTAGATAACTTAGATGACCAAATGCTTTCAATACTCAACAAATCTTAATAGATTGAACTCATCAGCATTTGCATTCAGTGACGGATCTAGGAATTTTTTTGAGAGCTGGGTTGTTGAAGAGTGAAAAAAATTGAAGATAATTTTTTAAATAAAATAATAAATATAAGAATTTAATTTTTTGTGGCTTGTCTGATTCAGCTTTTTTTGATCTTTTAATTGTGTCCGTGTTTTCTGCATTACCATGGATGTGAGACGTGAAGAAACAAGAAAGCCTATTTACTATACTTTCTTTTGGATTTAAAACGGAAGTGGCTATTTTTAAAATCTGAATGGGAATATCAAAGGGTGTGTTAGAGAATCATGAATGTGCCAAAGAATCAGTGGGCAAGAATGTGAAGTGTGATATTTTTACAAATTGAGGGAGCATTTTTAAAGTTTTTACAAATTAAAAGGGGGCTTTTCAAAATTTTAACAAAAAAAATAGATAATAATGTAAATAAAAAATAATCCAGTGGGGGGCGAATAGCAGTCATGGGAAAAAAGATTACGTGCCATCTGGAATGTCGAGGCTCCCTAGCTTAACATTTTTGGTGGTTTGCCTCGTCAACATCGCCACTGAAAGGTAGAGTCTTAATGTTTCATTGAGTATCATGCCCAACCGTCCCGTATAAATTTATAATAAGCAATAGTTTATATGGTTTCTGTCGTGCAAGCAAAAGGAGAGGAAATACTAAAGATGCTAAATCAGTAAATCAGCTTTTAAATTATTGTTTTAGTCATGAAGCATGCTGAATTCACAATCTTCTACTTCATTATGGTTATTCTACAAGCGATGTTGAAAAAACACCATTCCTTTATTAAGATGCGTCATGCATTCCTCTTCGTTTTTCTTCTATCCATTTTTTCAATCCTCCTATCCAACAAAGTATTAGTATAATTTATATTTTCTTTAGATTAGGATGTTCATGGATAGCAATAACGCAACTTGCAATTTATCATCAAGATCATCAGGGACGGCTGGAGCCTTAGGCAACTTAGGCGGTTGCCTAAGGTTCCAGCTAATAAAAAGGCTTCAAAATCTTTTATTTTCTTATATTATACCTTTCCTAAAATTTTTATTTTTTTGTTATTAGACTCCAACCAATAGAAAACCCCAACAATTTTTACTTCCTTATATTATAACCTTACTAAATTATTTGGCCCAAAGATTGCTTAACCTTATCTCAGCACCCCCCCCTTTTTTTTTTCACCTAATTTGTTGTGGGAATTGATGAAACTTTCCTATTCTCCTTTAACTTTTATCTTATTATTTTTTCCCCTTTATTCCTTGCATATTTTCCTTCTTCCCTCATTATGTGGTCTCCCTTCTCTCAGTAGAATTTGAAGCTCAACAAATAAGAGATGTTTTACTTCAATTATTAAATATTAGTGAAGATCCTAGACAAGAAGTGAAGCTAAATACTTATAATTAGTAGCATATAAAATTGAAAATTTTGAGTTTTTATTAGGTATGAATATTTGGTATGACATAATTATTGTTATTTATTATTATTTTTTTTTACAAAATATAGAGAAAATGGATTTACATCAACTATTATTTTAGCTAAAGAAATTCCTAATGAAATGGAAATAGAACTTGTATTTCATGAAAAACATATAATTTGTAGGGAAAAAAATAATTTAATGATAATGTAGATGATAAGCTAACTCAATCAGTCAAAGAATTTTTCAGAATTGATTATTTTTTATATGTAGTTGACCAATCTATCTCTTCAATTCACAGTGTGTTTGAACAATTTAAATTATATGAATATATTTTTGGTTTTTTTTTTTTTTTTTTTAATTTCAAAAAGGTTAAATTTATAATCATTAGATGGTGATAATTTGAGAAGATATTGTTGTAATTTAGAACTCTTTCTAAGACAAAACGAATCTTCTAATATTAATAATTTAAATTTATTTTCAAGATTAAAAGTTTTTATTAAAAAAAATTAAAAATAGAAACAAGCACTCTAATTGAAATGTTAAATTACATAAAAAGACTATTTTATTTTCCAAATGCATGCATTGCTTATAGAATATTATTAGAAGTTTTTTCAACTTAAAGTTAATAAAATCATATATAAGATCAAACTTGAATACAAGGATAATTTTAAAACAAATATTATAACCATTATTTGATATTAATATATTACACATTAAAAGGCCACTTAAATAATTTTTGTCTAAGGCCTCAAATTATATTGACCGCCCGATTTATCATTCATGCTGTTCCAAAACAAAAAAAAAAAATGTAAAAAACAACGTACTTGTATTAAAACACAGAGGAAACGTAAAACAAAATTGAACAGTAACAACAACAATCACTTGGACACTTCAAACATAGCTTCAATTCAAAATCCTCCTAAGGAGGATTTGTGCACCATATTGCGGTTGTAGGGTCAGAAATAGCATGGGGCCATGAACATACGATGGTGATACCTCAAACCAATATTGTTGGATGACCATAGCTAGAATAACTTTTGCTTCAACCATAACTGCATTTTGGCCTACACAGATTCTAGGGCCTATCCCTAGCGGAAAAAATGAGCCCAGAGACTTCCCATGTTCAGCGAATCTCCACGGATTGAACTCATTAGCATCTGCTCCCCATATCTCTTTGTCGTGATGAATAGCAGTCAAGGGAAAAAAAAGTTCCGTGTCAGCTGGAATGTCGAGGCTCCCTAGCTTAACATTTTTGTTTGTTTGCCTCATCAACGTCGCCACTGGAGGGTAGAGTCTTAGTGTTTCATCGAGTATCATGCCCAACTGTCCAAGACAACATAAATTTCTGTTATGTGCAAGAAAAAGGAGAAGCAATATTAACGATTATATCACCATACTGTTTCTCTAAACTGATGGAAGAAAATTTCTTTTGTGAAGTTGTACTTACAATCTTGAAGTCATTTATATTCTCTGCAGCAGGAAGCCCATTGTCTCCGCAAATCCTAAGAACTTCTTCTCGTGCCTTGCTCTGCCATTCTTGATGCAATGCTAGGAGAAGAAGTGCCCAAGTCAAAAGAACGGCAGTGGTTTCCTTCCCAGTAATGTAGAATGTCTTGCATTCATCTATAATCTCCTCCACCTGCAATCTCTCTTCTTTTCCATCCTCATTCTTGTGGGCAGACACTAACAACGAAAGTAGATTTTTTGAATTTTCTTTTGTTTTGTTGTTCATCTCAATTAACATTCGAATAAAATCTCTAGTTTCTTTCTCTATCCTCCACCACATTCTGTTCTTCTTAGTGGGCAAAAACCTGTATATATTTCAATTTTGAGGCCAAAAAAACATAGCAGAACAACTTTGTCCCAAATCAAGAAACACAAAACAACAACTAAAAAAACTAGTTCTTTAATAAAATGTTTACAAATGGATATATATATTTATATATATATAATTATACCTGAATCCAGGAATGTAGACATTCTTTTCAGCCTCTACAACCAGACTTATTTGCTGTTCTTGTAATTCAAAAATGCGCTTTCCCTCTTCAAAACTGCTCCCGAAAGCCGTCCTCGATAAAACGTCGGCTATGAGCTTATGAAGCTCTTCGTGCACGTCTACCTCGAATTCATCTCTCCCTTCTCCTTGTTCCTCCCACTTCTCCAGCATCTTAGTAGTACTAGCCACAATTTCTGGCACCCAATCCTGTCAAAATATAATTTAAGCCTGACCTGGTTTGAGTTAATATGTACGAATAGCTCGGACATGATAAGTAAATTTTTTTTCTTTCTAGATTGGTAAAATAATTTGTCCAAAATTAATGAATAAATTATTTTTGTTAAGTTTTATTTATTTATTTATTTATTTTTAATATTTTACTATAATTAAACAACAAAAAAAAAATATAAAATAATGTTTTTCTAAAAATATTTTACAAGCCTAAAATAACGCAGATGGGGAGAGAGAGAGAGAGAGGGGGTTACCTTAACTCTCTCCATGTTAAAGAGCGGGTTTATGATTCTTCTGTGAAAAGCCCACTTCTCACCCGACAGTGCAAGAAGTCCATCACCAAATGTCATCTTACCAAGAGGATTGAATGAGATCTTGTGGAAGGAGACACCTGTTTTGAGAAACACCTCCTTAATCATGTCCGGTTCGGCTATAGCCAAACGAGGCGTTGCCCCAAACCAATACAGGAACGTCTTCCCATAAATGTTTGACCAGTTGTAGTAGTGTGGAATCACCCGACTAAGAACATCGTGATTAAAAGCCATTGGTCTTGATTCGGCTTCGGCCATCATACGTCGTATGATCTCCGCCGAGTTTCCGAAGATCGGACGGTAGCTGGGACCCCCTATGCCTTGTTTCCTGAAGTGTTTTTGAACCTTTAGTGGAACCCAGATGAGTGAGTGTATGGATTTGAAGAAGAATTTGAGAAGTAGAACGATTAGAATAAGAAGTAGAAGATACATGGTAGAAGCAGTGAGAGAGAGTGTGTATGAGAGAGAGAGAGACGGTTTCGTGTTTGGAGATTCATTGTGTATTCTTTTTTATAGGACAAAAGAAGGCATTGATAACATATGATTGGACCATTCAGGAGGTGATTTTGGGCATGAAACCTGTAAAGGAGGTGACGAGGGACCATTCAGGTGTAGATTGTTACGATGTTGAGTTGTTGACTGAAATTGTTAACAAATACATTTTTATAAAAAATAAATAAAATAAAATAAATAGAAAGTTACCTATTAATCCTACTTTTCATTATTACCTATAAGTCCTTCTATTTTCAATTAATTTCATAATCCCACCAGATATTCTTCCAATATTGCCATTTTTTATAAATGTATTATTAATGTCATTTTTTTAAATAGAATTTATCCATATTTTTTAGGAAAAAGTGCAAAAAAACCCCTTGGTCTATTGAGAAACTTGCAACTAACTCCCTAAACTATCAAAATTGCAGAAAACCCCCCGAGCTATACAAATTTGTTGCAGATCACTCCATCCAGCGACTGGCCGGCAAAAAATGAGTGCATGATTCTCACGCGACAGAAAAACTAATTTTTTTTGACAATAATGCCCTTTTATGCAAGCTTTATGAAGCTCCCAGCCGTTCAGTCTACGCATCAAACCCAATCACGACCGAGCTTTATACTCTACGGTGGCCCAGCCTTCTTGCTCCCATCCAGCGGGTAGTGCTTTGTTCAACAATGGAGGCATTGGGTCCACAATAGTTCTTAATGGTGTAGGGGTAGAAAAATTAGGGTTCTAGACAACAATCCTTGGTAATTCCCAAAAAGGACAATAAACAGTGACGGTGGTGACCTCGGACGATAGGCAATCTTTAGAGAGGGGACCTAAAGATTACAAACGGTGTAGTTACATATATATATATATATATATATATAAATCATCGTTCATCATCTACACAGGTGTGCAAAAATAATTTTGATAATTCTCACACCTCTTAACAGTCGCGATCCAATCTATACCTGCAATTTTGATAGTATGAACCATCAAAGAGCGAAAACTGAGATATCAAACCATGGTGAAATGGCCTTTACTGATTACTCTAATCGAGTCCAATTACAGGGTATTCACGTTTTGGGCAGCAAGAATATGAGGTCTTATGGTCGCGAATTGATTGGCTGAGAGCAATGATGAAGCCGTCAAATTGTTGTTGGAATCAGAGTAGTGGAAACGGTTGATGTCATCTAAGGAATGGATTTTTTTAATTCAATGATTTCCACATGAACTGCAGCTTCCGGACCAGTAACGCCGCCGAGATCAACACCAATGAACTGGGTCCCCAAACTGGAACTCGCCCACTCGTTCCCGGACTCACCACTCGCTCTGCACTTTCCCTTTTTGGTTTGAATCACCGTTGTCCCCGATGACTCTAGAATCGTCGCCATCCATGGTGATCCATCTCCTACTCCTCCAATCTCTCAGGTGAAACATCGTGTCTTAAAGTTTCAAACCCATCGTTTCCACCTCCGACCTTTCCGATCGCTTGCTTCGGCGAGAGCCAGAAACCCCATGCATCATGGCACCGGTAGGCAATGAGAAGCTTGGTTATGAGCGACGGCAAGCTCGGCTTTGATGATGAAGGCGGCAGCAAGCTCGGTTTTGATGGAGCAATGGTAGAGAGGACGGATGGTGGTGAGAAGATGGGCTCGACTGTAGAGAGCTTGGCCGTGGATGAGAGGTTGTACCAAAGATTTGCGAAATCAGTATGGCTTTGAAGGTTTGAATTGGGTTGTGATGGTGTGTTTAGAGAGAGAAAGTGATGGTCAGGAGAAGTAGGCAGTGGGGAGGACTAAAGGTAGAAGATGGGGTTGTGAGAGATTGGGTTTGTAAAACCATTTCACTTCACTATGTGAGATCAATCGCGCCGCCTCTACTCTCTGCAATTTGAGTTTTGAGAGGAGAAGGTCAACTTTTGGTCAAAAATTAATAAGGGTAAATTAGACTTTTTATTTTTTTGGCTAAGTCAGTTGCCGGAATGGACTGAATTGCAACAAATTCATAGTTCAGGGTTTTTTTTTTGTAGTTCAGGGGGTTAGTTGAAATTTACCAATAGTCCGGAGGGTATTTTTGCACTTTTTCCTATTTTTTATAACCACACTTTTTATAATGGTCGCTAGATTGTTAGAGTATCGTTTAAACCCACTTCTCTTGTTTCCAAAAATTACAAAACCACCGTTTCTCTCATTAGTTTCTCAAATTAATAGTATCACTACCACACATTGTAAAAATAAAAATTTTATTACCAAAAAAGGCATCACCGTATTCTCAAATCCAATCCACCCATATAAATCTCTTTCTCGTTGCAATCACGAAAGAATGTTAATATATAGTTTCTATTAATGCATTAGTAAGATTCACTTAATTTTTTTTTTATTTTATTCTTTGTATAATCTTAACGGACCACAGAACACAGAAATAAAAGAATACATATGATCGGTTGGTCAATCATACATCAACCTTCGTAATAGCACGAATCATTGTAAAATGGGGCTATTGGTCGGGTAAGTCGAACCACTAGGACTGTGCTAGTCTAAGGCAACCTAAGTGTTTAGAGTCATTCTTAGGATGATGAAGGGGTGTTCATAGAGGTTGTGTTTGTTGTCACTTAACTATAAATTCAGAATGCATACAACAATAAATTGAAGGAGATTAAAAGAGAAGATTTAGAGAAGGAAGTCTAGGGAAGTGAATCCACTCCAAACCTCTACACAAGCTAATTATATGATTGATTTGGGGAATTAATGTAGAAATGACCTTGATGAATAGCAATTCATGACTACTATATCATCTTCAAGAAATTCAATTAATTAAAATGTAAGAACAACCTATCAAAGCTCCACATGCTTAAATTACCTAAACTATGGTGCAATCCTCAACATGCTCACTAAGCTAGAGATTGTCAAACAAGTAACCAATTGATGAGAGCACATGATAACAAGTCACAAGGTTAATTCATCAAAAGAAATTCTTAAGCAATGAATTAACAAGCTACTCAAAATCATGCCATTAAAACCATTCCATAGTCTTAGCTCCATTGTCACTATGAAACTACAAGCCATACAACCATGAGATTAAATCATCTAAGACAAGAGTATTTAATGCAACATGATCTTTAGAACATTAAAACATCCATTACATTATGTAACATGCTCTAGATTATGGAACTAGTCAAATACACATTTCATTCCCCAAAATAAATCAAAAACTAGACATGCTTACAAGGAGGAGTTTCATCACCTCCCTAGATGGAGGTTTAGTTATCCATGGATACAAAAATGGAAGAGGAAGAAGAAGACTCCATCTCCATTTTCGAGCTCCTACTGTAGCACTCAAGAACACCCTTCTCCTTGCTCTCTTCTCTCTCCTCTATCTTGCTAAAGATCAAAGATAGCAAATGTGTGGCCTTTGGTAGCTTTTTATTCTCCAACAACACCCTCTCTCTCCTCCAAGGAACACCTCCAACCACTTCATAAAGAAGGAAGATGGCATTGAGGAAACCAATGTGCAAGTGGCTGAAATTGAGCCATTTCCGAGTGCAATCTGCCTGATTTTCGAGCACTCGCAAAGTGATCTCGAGCACTCTAACTTAGTGCAATGTGCAACATGCTCCTCTTGCTCAGCGCTGACCTATTTTGGTAAAACTACTATAACTTTGTACCCCGAACTCCGAATGATGATCTGTTTGAAGATTTGGAGAGCTGATTAAGTGCTTTAAAAACTTCATGTTTTGATGAAGACCCAATTCTCAAGTCTGGTTGGTCGAAAATGGGGAGAAAGGCAGTACTTCAGTGCTGCCAGGCAGTTCTGCGCACCTCTGTTACAAAGATCATAACTCTCTGCTCCGAACTCCGAATGATGAACCACTTGAAGATTTGGAAAGCTGATTCAGAGATATAAATCTTTCATGTTATGATGGAAGTCTAGTTCTTGAGGTTTCTAGGTCGAAAATGGTGACAAAAGTCAGGATCACTGCTGCCAGAAATTCAGAAATGGCATCCTTTTTGTTCAAAATTCCACAAGGCATCATTTTTGCTTCCTTTTTGCACTTTAACCTGAAAATGCATAAAAACATGCACATGGAGTTAATCTACATAAAATAATTAATAACTGGACTTTGTTAATGTAATTTAAGGCGCTTGAATATACAATATTCGGCGCTTATCACACCCCCAAACTTACATTTTGCTAGTCCCTTAGCAAAACTACAATGAAAAACATAATGAAAAGACAACCATGGGCATGCTACTACAAAAATATCATCCATGGTAAAATGAGATAGATACATAGCTCAAATACAACTTGAAACAGATAAAAACTGGAGATGGGGTCATTGGAAAAACTACCTTGCATATATGAAGCATTGATACAAAAAATGGGAAAAACCATTTCAACATGCATGCATCAACATCATAGTCCATATAAATAATTCAATTGTCATCTCTTAAATGGAAATAACTCAAACTCCAGTGAAAGTGAATTGGATTCTCAACATGCGGCTTTTACTTTCTTTTCCAATTCCAAAGCACAAGTTTTCAAATCATTGAATTCCCCTTTAAATGAGGTCCCTAAGGCATGATTTTATTTATAAGACAACATTTGTTGCTTGTTAACAATTTATTTCAACTCATACGCGAAACATAGAATGGTTGTGCAATGCTAAAGTCCCTTAAGCTTTCTAACCAACCTATGTAGCAAGCGTTAGGCCAACAACTCCCAAACCAGACGGCTTTAGGGTGTTAAGTGTAGAGACACTCCAAAGGACTTAATAGCTCAAGTTGGAAAGGCTACGAACTCTAGCTAACCATGTTTATTACAATTTTTTTGAATGACCGTGCAATGTTTAAGTCCTTTAAGCTTTCTAACCAACCCTTGTAGCAAGCGTTAGGCCAACAACTCCCAAACCAGACGGCTTTAGGGTGTTAAGTGTAGAGACACTCCAAAG